AGCAGAAGAAGAAGAAGAAAAAAGGTTCAATCGGACCCATGGAAAAAGACACGCGACACAATACCACGTTAGGGGTGACCGCACGTGACGGGGGCGGCGTTGGTTTCCCACTGTTCCTTATCCACTGGATATTTCCCTCGAATGGAAATCAACTCCCTTTCGCATCATCATGATGAGAGTGCTGTCAGCAACCTAGACGCAACGGGGACAGAGTTTTCACCGCGCACTGCATCCGAGCGCTCCTTGGGACATCCGCACATCTCCCTCGGGGCCTCAAGGTTGACTCTGGAGGGTCCAGTGTGGGCCAATCACTCCCCACAACGGTGCGAGAATAGAAGGATCCTGCACCAGTAGGATTCCAGAGCAAATCCTCTGCCCTTTGTCTCCCGTCGAGAAGGTTTCGCTGGTACCTATCCGGTGTTGGGGGCCCCCCCCCACCATACGATCCCTCGACCAGTGAGACGGACCTGTCTCCCTCCCAGGGCTGAGGCGGATATCTCGGCGCTGACTCATCGTCGCGTCGGTTCCCCCTAATTGGTTTTCAGCCTCAAAGGTGTCTCAGCGCGGGTTCTCTGCATGATTTCTTAATATTGGACTCGGCGGACGGGACAGTGGTCTGGGACTCTGGGGTCATGGCGGCAGAATGGCCCCGTTTCTTTGTTTCTGAAATTCCAATAGTATCTAGTGGTGAATTGATTGTTCGCCTTGTTTGATTTGTTGGTGGATCTCAATCCTTACCTGTGTTCGGAGGCAATTCACCCTCCTCCCACGGGAGCGGTCCATCGCTGTTCCAATTCGGACCGGGCATCGATCTTCCAACGACCCCCCCCCCGTCTGGACAGTGCCCAGCAAGGCGCTCTTACAAAAACGGGCCCTGACCGGTCCTCAGCACGAACTCCGTCGCGTCTGCAGGGTTCCTTACTGGGAGGGGACCCCCTGAGGTCGGCCAAACTGATGCCTAAACGGGCGCCAAGCCCTGCTATCCGCTAGCGCTGACCTCCCGCATCTCTTGGCATCTCCACCGCCCCCCTTCCTCCTTCCTTTTTCCAGGCAGTCAGGCACTGCCCGGTGGCGGTACCGTTGTGGTTTGTGACCGAATACGCCTTACGGTACCGTTACGATGACCTTCGGGGCTGACTAACAAGCTCGGGTCACGGAGTGCTTTTCCTTCCGTCCATTGATCAGACCTCGAGTCGACACAGAGATATCGTTGAGAGAACGATGGACCCTGGCCAGCTCAGGTTGTATTTTCAATGACGGCAAGGAGACACCTTTACCTTCATCCTCCCTGACGCCCGCCACGCCTAGTTGACAGCTTGAGACATGTACCTCATACAAATGTGACGGGTCAATGATACACCAATCCGATCAGACGTCTCAATGGGACTCCTTCATTCGAGCCGTCCACTACTCCGGATTTGATACATCTCCGTCAACATCGCCGTATACGTACCATTCCATCTATCGACGGTATGGACACCTCGCCGTACCGTGTCAAATGAAGATCACTCCGATCGCGCAACCGCACGCCATCGCAGACCCCCGTGTAGATCCCCAATGTAACCCTAATGCAGGCCGAAACGTTTCAGACACCCGGAATACCGGTGGGAATAACACCCGCCTCTCGTAGACATTGCCCCAACTGAGGTAGTCTGTTCACTGTGTCCGTCAGAGCACACTAGTCCTCTGCATGATCCGACGTCGGGCTCGATTCGTCTCGAGAGGGACTCACCCGAGTCATCAACATGGCGATGCCCGCATAACCTTGAGTGCCAAAGAAAACTGCGGGAGAAGGGCCGAGAGGTCTCCAGAGGTACCTTCAAGGATTCTCATCAGCGTGTGCGATATCAATTTCCCTACAGCCCTGTCTCAGGTCGCACCTTGGACTGTGTGCTGTTTCTCGTGCTCGTATCGCCCCTGACGGTCTTGTCGAGCGTGGAATAAGTCACGTTTGGTATCATTTAAGATCCGTGTCTGTTGAATGGAATCCGAGATCAGTCCGCGTCGATGTCATTGCGTAGCGCCGATCTCACAGAGTCCATCCGCAATCAAGGCCATCCCGGCCGGTCCACGGGGCTCTGCCGGTCGATGGAGTCCTGCCGATGTAAGTATACATTTTTCATGGTCCTGACGTCGGTTATATCACGCTTACCAGATTCTTCCCCGAGTCCAACAAAGGATCCTGGCCGAGCCTGCCGAGTGGACCATCAAGCCAACATCGCCCTCGGACCTCCCGGGCCCAGCGGGGTGCATCGTCTGAAAAGTTCGGCGCTAGCCTTGTGGAAAAGGATCGATTAGCTTAAGGAAAGGTGAAATGGAAGACTTCTGTGGGATCGATATGAAGTCTCAAATTCTGCAGACTCTACCGTCCCATGAAACTCTGCATGGTATAGTCAGCTGACCCGCTTGACTGATTGCACTCACTGACTTGTTGCTTAACATCACTCCCACATCCCCTATGTGATAGATGGCTTGATGAAATTAACAAACATACTCGAATAATGCAAGTGCGGGGGAAAGCTGTCCTTACCACGACTAATGTACGCTGGTTGCTGGGATATAGCCATCTTAAGCCCGACCAAATGTCGTTTTGGTATTCTGGTGCAGTGACAAGGACTGATCAATAAGCACTAATTCCAAGGCCTTGTCGCAGTTAGATTTGAGGAGAGAATATTTCAATATCACCCTCTTTCTATCAACATCAATCAGCGGTGGCCGGTCCTACGGTGACAGCCTCGTCAGATTTACCCCACAGCATGTTTTCTCAACCACTGCATCAACTGCCCGAATTGGCATTTGGTCAGACTTGGTATGACCAATATACCAACATAATCTCCACAATAATCTGGCTAATTGACACCCACTGTTCCCCATCTGGCACTGATTATCTGCAAAGCTCGGGGGTGCCTGTCTCGGCACATCTTTATTTGCTGTTCGCGCAGGTGGAGTTTTGGTCGACATTCCCGTCGAGGCTCTGCATTTACATGTACTCGTTCATCCGTCTTCTATTCTGTGCCTGCTAAGTAGTACTGGGTTCAACCGGAATATGTTCATCCGAAGCAAAATCTACGCGTCGCAACGACACAGCCTCAAAGACTGGCTGGCGACGACCAATGGGGCTCGAATCCAGAGCGTCTTCGTTACAGCCAGCACAAGGGTGGTCCATAGGTCGCGATGATCAACAACATCGCTGGCTCCGTTGTATGCAGACAACGTGGAGGCCATCAAGGCACAAGGGGAAGGCTAAAGTCGGCAGTGTAGGCGACAACTCAGCTTGAGCGATATGGATTGGAGTCATGAGAATGCCTTGAGCAGTTCCTAGGGCCGAGCGAGGGTATAAATACCCCCGTGAACACCCATCAATCCTATCCAGTCTCATCCACAACCCAAAGTTCCCAAAATCATTTCAAACCATCCATCTCCAACTCTCTATCTTGACCTTCAGCTTGAGTCAACCTTTGATCACCATGAAGTTCATTAGTGTGATTTCCCTCTCCCTCATCGGCCTCGCTGTTGCCATGCCTGGCCTCGAGAAGGTAAGTCTTTTCGGCATGCAAAGACTCCTTGGAAGTTTTACTTACACATTCTTCTTCAGCGCTGTGGAAACGCAATGGATGAGTGTACTGTGGATAGCGACTGCTGCGGTGATTTGGGCTGTGGCCTGGTGGATGATGTCGAACGATGCATGGGTTTTGAAAATAAGTCATGAATCGTTTCAGAGGCGGGTGGTCTTCGATTGGGAGATTTTTCCGGTATAGTGTGTCGGGATGTGTCGCAGGGATCAATCAGGCGGTACTACGAGCTTTCTCATGCATGTACAGATCACCAGATGCCTGTTAGCCAGATTCTATGAATGCAAGACAGTACAATCTTTTGACTAGAGGAGTTGGTGACACATGATATGAATGATTACCACTTGTTAAGTAAACCATCACTGATGGTAAATTCACTAAGAGGTTTCGACATGGTGTGATACAACACTCCCCAGCATGGTAGATGGATTGATTTGACTGACCTGCTGAATACCAAAGCCCTGCGACTCACTGATACATGTTCTTGATCTAATGGTCAAGATCAAACGAAATGCTGAGAGGTTATGACCCGGGATAGAACTTAGGATATCGTGAGTTCGACCCTTACCAGAGTTGTTTGGTGTTTGTCTATAGAACTCCAGGATTTGTAAGATGTTCCTGTAGCTAAGAGCCAGAGCCAGAGTCTTACACAGAGCCAAAAACAAGTACCAGATGATTTAGGGGATGTGTTGGATATCAAGACCCCACCGCTCACCAATTGGTGTTTTTGGTCGAATGGTCAAGACGAAAAGCCAAGCTGATATAACCAAAAGGCCGGAGGACGTCTTCTGCTCAGAATATCATTTGGATATTTACCTTATATGCGTCTATTGACAGACCCAAAAACGCTAATCCCCGTACGATGAGAAGAACTGAAGTACTCAAAAGTTATGCTGACTTCATGCTGGCTCTATGCGAGAGGTCCTGGCTCCCATGGCGTCACTATCGAATGAAATCAGAATGACTGACCCGAGGTGAGTGCGGCGAGTCGTTAAACATCGCGGTGTTGGCCGTACAAAAACTACTATGCAAAGAGACGATACTTACGGGGATTTTTATGAGCGTGGTAGAATTCTACAACGAATGCCCATTGTTCCAATTATAAGACATACTCTACGCCTAAGAGTATAGAGGGTTTATAACGTGCTACGCCCCAGGACAGATCAGAGGCTGCGTTGTCAAGATGGAGAGAAATATATATATTGTATATCTTACCGCGGGAACTATTTGTCTCCATGATCAGTACGAGTTTTCAGCTGCTATGATTATGATAAATGCAGTCATTAAGATGTCCTTGATTGAAAAAGAATATAGAAGACAAAAGCCAAAAAAATTCAAATTGGAGTAATTATTCAGCAAGACAATCCGATGTATAAAGGAATAGATAACACATGAGAAAAAAGAAAAAAATGATCAAGTCAACGCCAATGGCGCTGCTGGGAATCGAACCCAGGTCGAATCGGAATTGTTGTTTGAAACCACAACGATTCATGATGACCACTACACTACAGCACCTTGATCTATGAAAATGGCTGCTTTCTTTGGTCTCTTGATCCGCCACTTCTCCGCTGGACGCGCCTTATCGATAAGCGCGTCTTTCACTCTCCTCGATCTTTGTCTTCATCTCATCTTCATCTTCTTCTGTACGCTCCACTTTACTCCCTTCAAATTTGTCAATATATTCCCTTCAACATGGACCTAGATGAGGACACGTACCGCTGCCATAAACCTCTCCCCTTCGAGCTGGTCCAACACATTGGCATCTTCTTCGAAGAGAAGCTCTGTCAGTATCTCCTACACCAAGAAAGTCATTCGCACCATCCTAACAAGCTACGCAGATACCCAAGCCCTTGCCCTTCTCTTCGACATCGTAACGACAACGACCGGCCCACCGACTCCCGTATTCGTCCCTCCCCCGCAACATCTCGCCCTCTCCGCAACCATCCTAGTGCACCCCGCAACCACCACGCGCGCCAAATCGCCCGCAGAGGAGGGAGCCCCCGCCGCAGCGCTACGGCTCCTCCGTCTAGCCAACAACCTCGTCGGCCCCCTCAATGCCCGTCTAGGCGTCGCATTCTCCTTCACCCACTTTCAGTCCTCTCGACAAGGCCGCCGCCGCCGTGGCGCCCCAGAGGACGATACCTTCGCGGATCCCGAGGACGCAAAGCAGCTGAACCTGGAGCTCGCCCAGTCAGCGGCATTGTGGTCGCGCGCAGAAGACTTCTGGCACGTCGTTGGCTGGGCGTTCAATTGCTCGGTGCTGCACCGGGAGCGGTGGGATTGCTGGCGCGTGTGGCTGGAGTTCATGTGCGAGGTGCTGGAGGACGACTGGCGCGAGCGGACGAGGCTGGCCGAGGTTGCTGCAATGCAGAACAACAACGACGCACCGAATGGAACGGCAAAGAGACGTCTTCGAAATAAAACGGATAATCAGGATCAGCACGCCGCTGTCCTCAGAGACAGCCTCATCTGCCGCTACATCACCGACCCGAGCGCCGGCTTCGGCCGCAACCGACGCATCCTGCGCGCTGTTTTCGCAGACGGCAGCTCCAGCGCCGTCAACGAGTTCCGCCAGGTCTTCCACAACGAGCTGCGGCTGTTGCCCAACAAGGGCGGCGACCAGCCGGGCAAGATCAAGAAGCGCGAGGTGGAAGTCAACGTCGACCAAGGCGTCTACGGCGACTACCTCACCGAAAAAGAAGACGACGACGACAAGCTATCCACAACAGAGAAAAGCACCACGTCCACTCGCAAAACCAAACGCCCCCGCCGAGCCACCCGCTCCAACGGCGATACCACCGTCGAAAGAACGCCCCCCCAACCATCACCACCCCCGCCATCAACAACCAACACCCCAGCCACAAACGACGCCTCCCTCCTCGGCGGCCTCACATCCCTCTCCCTCCGCCAACGCCTCCTCGAACTCCTCTCGCAAGTCTCCCAAAGACTCCCCGGCGAATTCCTCCCCCTCGAAGACCTCTACCACCTCTTCGTCGAAAACATCCGCCACCAGCCCCTCCCCATCTACCAAGCCCTCGTCAGCCCCTCCACGCTCTCCTACCTCTCCCCAGCAGCCCACACCACCCTCTGCGAATTCCTCCTCTACCGCCTCCGCGAGTCCGCCGCTCCAGACTCCAGCGAAGACTACCTCAGCCAGACCAAACTCGAGCACTGCTTCCTGCCGTTCGCGGCGAGCACAGCCGCCGTGGCCGATAACGCCAAGATGTCTATCGCGCTGGAAGCGCTTGTCATGTTATTGGCACAGAGTGACCTTCTCACCGTTACGGACAGTTTCCGGAGCGCGGTGGAGTGTGGCATCGAGGCGAGGGCCGAGAAGGTGCAGACTGAGGGGGCGCAGGCTGCTACTGTTGGGGGTGCGAGGGGCAGGGGCAGGGGCAAGAGCAGGGTTGCTGAGGATGTGGAGTGGTCTTGGTTGATTGAGAGTGGGGAGCGGTTGATGTTTCTTTTGGAGGTGTTGAGTTGATACATTGGGGGTGTTGGTAGTGTGCTTCTATCTGCTTCTGTCTTTTTGGTTTCGGCTTGCTGTTTCTGTTCATATATCTTGTCTATTCTTGTTTGATGTTTGTTGATTTGGCTTACAATGGTGTGATTGTTGTGTTTTTATGGTATAGATACCCTGTGCAGCGAGTACTTTAACTATCTATTGACTGATTATATATATTGATCATTATAAGTGTATATCTGTGAGATGCATCTATTCAGTATAGACTATAGAGTATAAATGACTATGTACAGCTGAACCAAGACAAACAAACCGAAACCACCTGGGAATAAAATCAATATCCCCCCCCATTCACCTACCCATCCATCCATCCATCCTCACGCTAGACACGCAAAAGATAAAAAAAAGCAAGCACATAGAACCAAAGAAGAAAGCAAGTAACGAAATGATAAAAAACGGGACCTAGCCCTCTAAACTAAGGCTAATGAAAGAACGAGAAACAAAAAAGATCTATGGCGGCGGCCTCGGTCCGATAATCTGCCTTCTCGCACCCCCAACGCCCAGCCCGGACCCCCCACGATTCTGATTATCACCACCCATATACCCATACTGGTGGACATCCCAAGCCTGGCCGGGCCCGGACCCCAGCGTGCCGTCTTTGAGGCCGCGCGCGGCAGCCTCCTGCGTCTGCTTCTGGCCCTCTTCCCACTCGCGCTGGCGTTCGCGTTCGCGCTCCATTTCGCGCTCCAGGAGCGACTTCGAAGCCCAGCCGCCTGCTTTGGTCTTTTGTTGTGCGGCGGCGCGGCGTGCGTTCTCGGCGTCGACTTCGGCTGTTGTGGTGTAGTCTTGGGGTCGGTGCGTGGCGGGCTTGGGGGCCACCGGGGGTCGGTGGGATGAGAGGTATTGGTCGACGCGGCTGGCGGGGAGATGGGGCTTGGGAGCGGCGTGCGCCGCTGTGGGGTCTGGGAGGGGTCGTGGGGACGGGGTGATGTTTGTGGCGTGGTCTGCGGTTTCGAGCGGGGTTCGTGGCGGCATCGCCGGGGGCGTTTGCTGCGGCTTTGCTGCGGTGGGGTCGGGCAGTGGTCGTCGGGGGAGGGATGGGGGCTGTTCGGAGCGGGTGGGCTCGGGGAGCGGCCGTGGAGGCTGGGGCGGGACGACGTCCGGCTCCTCCTCCTGGTGCGTCTGCCATTCGGTGCGCAGCAGTCGGCGCTCCTGCTCGAGGGACGACAGGCTGTAGCTGGGCTTGGGCGGCACCGGGACGGGGCGATTGCTGCGCGCGGGTGGCTCCGGGGTTGCCCCGGTCTGCCGGCCCTGCTCGTATTGTCGCTCCCGTTCCTTGGCGAGCTCTAGCTCGCGCTCGAGCTCCCGGATGCGCTGTGTCTCCTGCGATTCGCCGGGTGAGACGCGGCCGGGGTTGGCGTGGCTGGCTTGGTACTGGCTGAGGAATTGGCCGTTGAGTCGGCTATCCTGCAGTTCGCGATGGCGATGCCTCTCCTGCTCGAGTCGTGCCTCGGCCTCTTTCTCTTCCCGTGCGCGCTGCTGTTCCTCCGCCTCCCACGCCCGCTTTTCCTCCTCCCATCGCTTCCGCTCGGCCTCGGCCTCCTGCCGCTCCTTGTCTCTCTCTTGCAAACGAGCCGTCTCTATCTCCCATCGACGCTCCTCCTCCTCTTGGGCTCGCCGCTCCTCCGCCTCGAGCTCGCGCTGACGCCTGTGCTCCGCCTCCTGGCGCTCGAGGGTAGCGCGCTCTTCTTCCTCGCGCCGGCGCTTCTCCTTCTCGGCCAGACTCGGCACGTACGGCGAGGCGCTGGTGATCTGTCGACGAGCGCCAAAGGCGACCCCTTGGTTAGCCTGGCTCGCTCCGCCCATGTACCCGTACTGGTGGATATTCCAGGCCGGGGCGGTGGCGACCTCATCGGACTTTTTGGACCAGCTGCTGACATGCGGGGACTTGCCGGGGCTGGCGCCAGAGGTACTGGAGTTCGCGTCACTGACGTTGCTGATGCCGCGCGGACGGGCCGGTTTGTACGCGCTTGCACTGGAGCCGGTCATATTCGGGCTGAGCGACCCGCCCTTGCTCTGAACGCCGATCGCGCGAGGGAATTTAGCCGGCTGCAGGGCATTGGCTCTCCGGCTGAAGGCCATCAGGCACTGCAGGACTTGCGCGGGGTCCTTGCCCTCGTAGAGGTCGACGGTAAGGAAGACGTCATGCGGCGGAAGACTCAGGGGTGGCATCTGGCACGCGCGGAGGAAGTGGGAGATGTTCTCCATCTGGACAAAGGGCATCGACGATTGTTTGTACTTGAGACCGGGAGAGACGACCATGTTGACGAGTCTAGGGAATAATCCGTCAATCACCGTGAACTGGGGTGCGGGAAGAAGACCTATCCAGGGCGGTTTCTGAGCTCACCTGCAGAGTGCGACACCATCTTTCAGGCCCTCCAAGAGGTCGGATGAAGGCAGTTTCTCGCGCAGCACGTCTTCGATCCAGTCGCGGACCTCCGCGGCTGCCTGCGGTGTATAGCGGGACAGGCGCAGACTGCGCAGGTCCTTGTCCAAGGACGTCACGGACGCCATGATAAATCGATTCAAACCGGTCAACTTCTCGGATGTAGTATACCGTAAGGAGAATGGAAGGAAATGGAAGAATAGAAGAAGGGATGTGAGTTGCTAAGGAGGACGGCGCGGACAGTAGTGGGGCGGCCCGTGGGGCGGGGATATAAGGGGCAGTAGGAGTATACGTAGTAGAGAGTATAATCGAGGGAGATCGGTGACAGACGAGGGATGATTTGACGGAAATGGAAGAGTAAACAGGAAAAAGGAGAGAGTCAAGAAGGAGAGAGGACAGAGAAGTGAAGCGAAAGTTGACAGGGAGAATAGAAAGAAGAGAGAGAGAGAGAGAGACAGAGAGAGGAATGCGGTTGGGGGGCAGTTTATGCCCGCTTATGTATGAAGGATGCTGACTGGCTGTGAAGGGATAATTCTGGCGATGACGTTCGTTCGTCTTCCACTCAGCCTCGTCTTTTTCTCCACCCTAGCGACGTCCTCCTCCCCA